CTACCTACCTACCTAGCTGCCTGCCTGCCTGCCTGCCTGCCTGCCTGCCTGCCTGCCTGCCTGCCTGCCTGCCTGCCTGCCTGCCTGCCTGCCTGCCTGCCTGCTTACCTACCTACATACATACATCCATGCATGCATGCATGCATGCATGCATGCATACATACATAGCATACATACATAGTATTACATAGCTACTTCCATGCATACTTCCATACATACATACATACATACATACATACATGCATCCATGCATGCATACATACATACATACATCATACATACATATACAGAAATGTATGTATATATGTATGTTTTATGTATGTCTGCATGTATGTATGTATGTATGTATGTATGTATGTATGTATGTATGCATACTGTGTGCATGCGCGTGTGTGTGTGTGTGTGTGCGCGTGTGATATGTCTGCTCTGACAGTGATAGTGGCTATGTGTATACACACATCAACATGGCTCGCTTCTGCTATCGTCCATCAAGACTCACGCTCTCCGCGGAACCGGCCTTCTTTCTGACCCTCTCGTCCTTCCCGGCGTGAGTTTTCGAATTCGGGCTTTACCTTTGTATTTTGGGGCTTTACAGGGTAGTAGGGCTTTAGGGTTTACGACATGAGTCTGCTTACTTCGGGGCTTGGGAGCTTCAGCCGTTACGCGGTTTGGGAGTTGCTTCTTTCAAGCTCTTACGACTTCAGGGTCTTGGGAGAGAGAAGCAGAGCCCGACTCTTCTTGCGTCCTCCAGCTCGATCTCGCTCTTCTGGAGCTTGCTTGCCTTGTTTTTCTGCTTCTTCTTCTGAGCCTGTTCCAGTGCAGAGCCTTTGGAAGTCTCAGAGAATAGGGGACCCACACAAATTGGCGCAAAAGACAGATTCCCCGACAAGAGAGAGACCCCCCTTCTGGGAAGCTTTGCAGTTGACCCGAGCCGGCCCCTGGCGACGTGGGCGGATGGCCTTGTACTCCTTCGCTACTCTTGTGATCCGCTCGTCCTGGCTACCAGCCTGCACATCGTCGAGTTGAGAGGCTGACAAACAATCATAGATAATGTATGGGCCTTAATAATTAGAATAGGGTTTTGGGGGCTCCTTATTATAATCGCAGTAGAATATACAACAAAACCCTATTCTAATTCTTAAGGCCCCTATATTATTCATAAATCCTTTTCGCATGCCTGCTGCATTGCTGCATCCTGCAACACAAGCCGCCCATCAGCACTAGCTCGTCGCCCACCTCTTTGGGCCTCTCGTCTATGGCACCTGAGACCAGAGCAAAGTGCCGAGCATTGCAGGGACCAGCAAACTAAGTGATTTCGGGTTTAGGAAACTAAGTGGAGACTCCAGTAAGCGTTCTGGGACTGTGGATTAGCCTGACTTTTTAAGCTCCTGGTATCCAACGAACCAACCGCCTGCATGACTGGAACTGTCGACTACTTTGACAATGAGAAGCACTCGCTCGTGGCGACGCGAAGCACCCTAACACCCGAAAAACCCTAAACTCATCAACCCTAAACCCTGAGCGGACCGCCAGAGGGAGTGTAGATGCCGTTCACCCCCCGGCGTCCTTCTCGGGTTACCTCCTGAGCAGCTCACAGCGAAGACACTTCGGAGTCGTGGGCCGTGGTTATCTAGGGGCCTCAATAGCTGGAAAGGGGTTCTGTGTTTAAAGGGTTCTTTAAGCTTTTCTCAGGGAATGATGGGCTACAGGGGCATTAACATCTTCTTAATGGGGCTTGGGGGTCCCGCGTAGTTGTATTTGTATGTTAAAGTAATAGTACCCCCTTATCGTTACTGAAAAAGTCTAGTATAAGATGTAAGGGAAACCGCCTGCAACAATGTGTTGATGATCTAAATCCTGCGTTGCCCATCTATAAGGAACAAACCATAATTCCCATAGTTTAGGGTCCTTAAGATAGCGCAGGATGTATATCATCAGCAGTCTTGCTCTTTTGAGTCGGCCCGGTTGGCAGCAAGTCGGCCTTGAAGGCTCGCTTCAACTCGGTGTCTTCCAAGAGCACTGACTCTGCTTGCAGCCTGCAGTGGCTTAGGGCTTAAGTTTGGGGTTTGAGGTTTTGGGCTTATGGGTTTAGAGTGTAGGCTTTGGGGTTTTAGGATGTAGGGTGTGGGGTTTTGGGATGTTTTAGGGCTCAGGGCTTGAGAACAGACTCGCAGCAGTCTGAGCAGTCTTAGTTAGCAACCCACCCGAGCTAAGCCCCACGCGCTGTCTTCCCGACGACTTCGTTGGGGTCATAGAGCTGGCAGAAGCAGCAATTGACATTGTGCAGGGGTAGGGCGGCTGCATGATAAGAGGAAGAAAAGACTGTCTTGCTCTGGGTCATCAAGATACAAACGCAGACTACCACGAGACATGGAACTCTGAAGAAGACGTCTTTGCAGGGCTTGAATGTTACAAGTGGGAGAAGCAAGAGATGGCAAGAGAGCTGAGATCAACACCAGGCTTTCAAACAAGCCTTACAAAAGAGCCCGCGACGCCGAGATGACTCGTCATTCCAACTCAGACTACCCGGCAGAGCGCCTGAGAGTGTCTGCGATTCGATGGTTTGTTCTTGTCGGCCATGCTTCAGACGGACATGGCACAGGGACGGAGGGGTGCGCATCGATCGAGGGCGCAAGTGGCGAAGCCTTCCAAGGCCTAAGTTCCTCCTGCTTCGGGTGTTGGGCTCAGAAAAGAGAGCGTGAGTCTCAAGCTTGGCAGTCGCCCATGAAACGGGGTGGATTAGTGCGTTTGCTCCTGATTGCCAACTCTGCCATGCTATGCATGAGCTACGAGATTCTGCTTTGCATCATTGGACACTGGACGCTGCGGACATGAACGTACGCTGGCATGTATCCCATGGCCCAACCCCAACACATCTTTGTGCATGCTCACGTTTGGGGCATCGGAGCCTTTGGCGGGTAGAAGTACCTCAGGCTTGTCCAACAGAATGTATGGTTCACCTACATCGCCATTGCCGAACGGAGTCGTTACTACCGCGCTCAAGTGCAGCCAGCGAGCCAGCACCGTATCCGTTCTGCCTGTAACTGCGCGAACATGCGCGAACAATGGAAAGACAGGCACAGCATAGTAGCAGAGGAGACCAGTAGCACAGTGCTGCAGCCTCGTCCATGTAGTTTTGCACCACACTGTCCGGCAGAGACCGCAGATATGACAGCAGCCTTGGCAAGTCTGTGCTGGCGCTGTCAGCAAGCGACCCCCTCCATCTCAAGTCTCAGCATCCTCTCCATGTCCTTTCATTCTCCAGCCAAGTCACTGCGGCCCAATCTGCGTCGAGGGCCACTTGATCACAAAGCGCGTAACATCCAGGAAATCCTGTGGCTTTTCTTCGTGCTCAAGTCTTTCAAATCACACACCATGGCGACTGACTAAGTCGCAGCTGTCCTCGAATGGCAACTCCCACTTGTCAGAGATCATCACCGGGATGCACCCGGCAAAGATCACCTCCGACGGAGACTGGTTATAACCTGAACCTGTACCGATCGCACCCAAATGGACGGCACCTCGAAGAAGCGCAGTGACCACCCAGACTTGCCTGCAAGCGGCACTCGCGGAGCCCATGACCATAACATGCGGGCCTGACTAATTAGAACAGGGTCTTGGGGTACGTTCCACTATCGAAATATAATATAAGGCATCCCCTTAAAACTTGTATTGATAATTCTAGTTAAGCCCCTATCCTAAAGAGATAGAGGCTTCAGTAGAACCTAGGGATCAGAAGAGGCTGCCGTGCCTCGCGGGACGAAGCAGAACCGGGAATCTCCATACGCTTCATGCATCACCTGAAGCTTCCAGAGGAGGATTCCACTAGGTTTACTAGGTTTAGAGTTTTGGGCCCCGAAACCCTATACGCTAGGGTTTAGGGTTTAGGGTATCTCTTCCACAAAAATCCGCGAGGGTGGAAGAAAGGAGCATCAGCCTCCAAGGTAGCGCCATCCCCGAACTTCAAGTCCTCCGTACCTGCACCACTTGGGCACACACCGCAACCCATGGCTGGGTTTTGGGTTTAGGGTTTAGGGTTCTGGAGAAGGCTTGGGTTCAGGTGACAGGAGGACACTTTAGGATGCAGGGGCTGTCAGTTTCAGCAGTTCAACATACTTAGGGTCTAGGGTTTAGGGTTGAGTTCATGTCTTTTTCTGTTGGGTCTAGGGCTTAGGGTCAGTTTCCCCATGAACTCACATCTCTGGCTTTTCTACCCGACGATGCTTCCGATCCGGCAGCCTATCTGCTACGGTGATAACAAAGACATCCAAGGCTGTTCTGACCGCTTTAAGGTTTTAGGATCTTAGGATGTTAGGGCCTATTTAAGTATAGGTATTCTCATACTTTTGTATGGTTGCTCCGCCTCAGGCTCCCATTTCACGGTAGCGACTCTCCTACTTTTCACAGGAGCTTCCTGGGGCCAGGAAACCCCCAGGGGTCAGAACAACCCGCACTACAACTCTGGCAGCTCCAGAGGCGCGAGCTGCAGACCTGAGCTACGGCACTTCTGCACTTCCCTCTGCCACGGAGAACCACCACAGCCGACCGGAACCTACGTGTTGGTAGGATCTTCGTACACGTCCAGAAGTTAGGGGAGCGTCTGTTTAAGGTAGCACGGTACTAGTATTGCTCGTATGTTCTACTACCCTGGCGTGCCTTATCTGTCCATCATCTCGTATCTTCGTACTCCTTCATCACTCTCAACGGTTGGGGCAGGATGACATAAGAATGCTGTACTGAAGGTTTCGTAGGTTTTCGATGACTGTACAACTACTATTCTGCTGTCAGACGTTGCTTTTTGACCGTTAAACTGCTCAAGTCGCTGACCTCCGTAGCGCAGGTGCTGTATGTATCTAGAACTATGCGGCCCTGCTGTTGTAACATGTTCTGTGCCTCTGCCTTGGCTTTCTCAAAACCCTATGCCGCTCTGCTGGCGCTGCCTTAGTAGTACCTGTTATTTTGTTCCTTGACATTGAAGACATACCAGGTACAAGCAGAAGATGACCCAGATCTTCTAAGGTCCGGGCGCCACCAAAGTCCAGGCCTCACCAGAAGGGTCTCAAGTCTGCAAAAATAGCATAGAACTGTAGTCAGCACTCTTGCGTGTTCGGGAAGACTTCCGGTAAATCGCATGGCTGACCGCAAAGCAGGCTGTAACCATATCGGTTTCAAGACCACGATGTTCACATTTCTGAGGGGATCCTTGTTATTTGTATTTATAGAGACTACTATACCCCAAAGCCCTCTTCTAGCCTCCATGCTGCAGTATGTAGGCCAAGGCTCGGGAGCTGCGATGCTGGTTATCGTCGAGCCCCACAAACGTTGCCGGAGACGCTTAGAACAGATCACCACATAGCCGCATAACACTATTGGTGGTAACATTGGTGGCATTACCAACACATATCACAATAGTCGGACAATAGTCACAGTATTAAGTAACAGCATGTGAACACAATCTTAACAGGTTCTGCATTCATGTCGTTTCTAATGGCCGCATAGAGATAGCAGCTTCCCAGGATATCCCGGGGCCCTGGCAATCCAGGCGATGGTGAGAAGCCATGCGATGACAGAGTCTCCTCAAGAAACTGACTCTGCTAGCATGTACAACTCGTGACACTGGCTTTCTGCAATGGCCTTGGATTGGGAGAGAAGGAGAGGGAAAGGGGAGGGCACGAGGGGCAGAGGGAGAGGGAGGTCCTACAACCGACAGGGCCGAAGTGTGACAAAGAGCTTCTCAGCTGCCCAAGAGGCTGACCTGCGCGGTCGCTGTCGCTGCAGGGCGAGCAAAGCTGAACCTGCCAAATTCCCCAGCCTAAGTGCCTACCTTCCTTCCTTCCTTCCTTCCTTCCTTCCTTCCTTCCTTCCTTCCTTCCTTCCTTCCTTCCTTCCTTCCTTCCTTCCTTCCTTCCTTCCTTCCTGCATGCACGCGTACATGCATACACAAAAGTCACAAAAACATAGCTATCAGCTCCAACATGGCCAGCCCAAGGCAGCCTAGACCACCCAGAAGCCCCCAACGTACCATTGAACTTCAAGACACCCGATTGCGTTAGGGAGTTTAGCGCGGATGGCTTCGGGTTTGGCATATGATGGTAATCCATGACAGTGCGACTGAAACTGAGAGTGCGAGTGAGAAACGGTGGGAAGAGTGCCTGCAATCCCTTAATTTAATAAATACAGCGTCAGACACGGAGACGACGTGCCATAGGATGATCCCACCTCAATCTGGCTGCGCAGGCAGCTGATCCCACCTGGTGCCTGCAGCCCACATGTCGTCTGTTCGCAAAATCTTGGCCGTGCGCAAAAGACAAGCATTTCAGCATGGAATGCGGCTTTGGTGAGGCCACATCCGACGCCGTCGTGATGGCATGCTTGTGATTGATTTCGTTCCTACCAGTCTTTTCACGGCTTAATCTAGACATGACCGCTGCCTGGAACTCAGCACTGCAATTCTGCTTCGGCGCAGTATGTTGCACTGCTACATGCTGCTGCCCGGAAACGGTGACCCGATCTCATCAATCGGCGATGTTTGGTTTATGAGCACGGTGGCTTTCTTTTGTATTCATGCACAATTATCTGATATATATATATATATATATATTACAGAATCCCCTATTCTCCTAAACTATTCGTTGAATCTCTACACTAAGTGTAGCTCAGAGGGCTTTAGCAAGGAGATCGTCCTTTAAGGAGAGGAAGAACCAATAGTTGTCGGAAACTAAGCTTTTTTTACGAAGCCCACAAAATGGGGCCCTGAGAGTGACGCTTTCTGTGAAAAATGCATTGTTACGTCAACGAGTTGTTCTATTACTTCGTGACTGCCTTCTTGCCACCACTTGACATGCTGGTATCAACAGAGTGTTGAATGCTTGGTTGTATATAGATACGAACACAGACCTTGTTTTGGCTATGTGTAGAGTCTAGAGTCTGAATGCGATCCCGGCGCAGGCAGAGAAACTTCTCGATCTGCATTTCCAGCTCCTTCCGCCTTGTCAAATTTGGGCTGAGTGAAGGTGCCGAATTCTGCGGTTGAGTTTCGACTTGTGCATCCCGGAGCAGCCGCCCCCACCAGCCGAAGCCCAACATCGAAACCCCAATTCCAACTTATTCAACTCGTCCAAACCCTACTTACATACCCCTAGACCCCCAAACCCGAAATCCGCAAAGCCCCAAAACCCGTAAAGCCTTGAACCCCTAACACGCCGAAACCCCAAAACCCCGCATCGCAGCCGCGCTGCGAGGCGCTGCCCTCCGCCCAGAGCTCTCGCCGAGCCCGCTCGAGCAGGCGCTCTGCCTGGTGCAGGAAGAAGCTCTTTTAAGGGCTCAGGATCTTAAGGGTGGGAAGAGGGTTTCCGTTTAGGATCCCTTTAAGGGATCCTCCTTAAGGGAAACTGTAAGAGCTCCTTTAAGGGTTCCTGTACAAGTTCCTTTAAAGGGTTCTTTTGAAGGTTCCACAGTGGTTCTGTAAGTGCTTTGTAAGGCGCTTAAGGCGATAGAGTTTGGGGCTTCATGGGTGTAGCCTGGGGCTTGGGGACTCACGTCCTGCTGTTGGCGGCTCCGAGCCTTCAGGTGCATCCTGAGAGCCCGCAATACTGTGATACAGAAAAAACGATCTAACCTAATCGAACCATTCGAATCTAACCATATGTCATGCTATACTACTATGCAACATAAAGTCTACATAATCACTACCAATACCAAAGGAATCTTTTTGCATCCTCGGACCAAGAAGCCTCCCGCTCACGCAGGTGGAGCCCGCTTTGATCCGGAGGGAGAGACCAGAACCTCCGGCTTTCTCTCGGCATTAGACTGAGCTTAGGGTTTACGGTTTCCTGTAGGGTCAGGGTTTAGGGTTCAGGGTTTAGGGCTGGCTGCGCCAGAACCTGAGTTTCCGTGATGCGGCTCGGTGTGACGCGTCTTGAGTACTTGGATGGGTGTGAGTCGAAGCTTTCGGTTGAAATATGAAATCGGTGTAGTATAGCTTGGTCGCAGAGGTTTCAAGCCTTTGGAGACTCCCGGATCCAGGCCAGTCTTCCGGCGTGGTACAACTGACGACTTAGAGATGTGCGTTTCCCCGGGCCGCGATGGCACTGTACCAGCTGGCAAGGGTTTCTGGGAATTCCTTGAACCAATGAACCTTGTCAGCATCAGCGCCACCATCGCCACGTGCTTCATCTGCAGTCATGGCAGCAACCTGAACCTTCGTCAAATCGATGTCATCACCCTTCTTCGGCAAGGCCAAAGACCCCCAAAAAGCAGCATCGTCAACAAGACGACGACCGACCAAAGTCAGTCTCAGAACACAAGAAGCTCTCAGTGGCCGGCCCTCGCTGAAGAGATGTGGTGATGTCCTGAAGAACATCGTGGACGAGCAACAACGGTTGCCAGTGCAATACATGACCTCACCTTGAGTCCTCGAATTCTGAGGAAGCTTTCACATGCCCGACCCTATCACCATGACGGAGCAGGTACCTGTTCCGAGATCTGCCGGCTGCTGGTGTGGCGAGCGAGCACCTGCCGCGGATGCTCGTTTCTTGTCTAGGACCTCAGGTTCTTACTTAGAGGTATTGCAGGCTCATCTCAGAATCCTTTCCACACTACGCTCCCATCCCACAGCCCTCCGAACACCGTGTGCGCACACGAGTTTCCAGCTGTGAGTCTGACCCTGTCCCTGAACACCGGTGTTCTGCGTCAGAGCAGGGCTAGAATACCCTCAGCAAGATGAGAACTAGTTGCGCTAGTAGGAACAGCATGACATGGATCGTAATGCGAGTTTGAGAACGTGCAGAAAATGCACTGCTGAGGAAGGAGATGAAAACGACAATAATTCATCTCCTTGTCTCTCTCGTCCTCGTCGTCGCGGTCGTGGCAGGTGTCACGGTCAACGTGCTTGTCGTGATAGTAGACGTCGCCGTCGTAGTAGTAGTAGTCGTCGTCGTCGTCGTCGTCGTCGTCGTCGTAGTCGTACTAGTCGCCGTGAAGTAGTCGTGCTGGTGATGGAAGCACCGCGGTGATCATTGTTGGCATAGCTGAGCTCCGGATGAAACCAAGAGCTCTTCCGATGGGATGAACACCGATAAGCACACACGAACAGCAACCCAAACCGTACCTCACGAAGCTCCGTCGCCGCCACCCTCAGTGATGGGCCTCCCACAACTGATCAAAAGGCATGGAAAGCAACAGCACATGCTCCAAGACCTACGAAAGATCTGGGCTCAAACCACGTGCCTCCGGCGCATTGTGCTCGCCTTGAATGAATGAGATCATGCAGCCAACTGATTACGCATGGCAGCGCCATTCAAGATCACAACGAAACTCTTGAAATCGATGGGGCCGATGGGGATGGTCTCTTCACCAGTACCCAATGCTATCAGCTGCTATCATCAACATCCTGCATTAGCAGCCGCAACTCTGTCAACCTCCTGATCATGCCAACATCATCATTATTGGTAGGAGTTGTCAGGACTGCGCATTCCAGCTTCATCCTCATCATCATAATCATCATCCTCGTCATCTTCTTCATCACCATCCTCATCCTCCTCCTCGTCATCGTCAGACTGCTATCCCCTTAACCCTGAACCCTAAACCTTAAACCCCAAACCCTACTTCCGGCACACCAACTTCTGCCCAAGCACAGAACCATCGGCAGCAGGGCGTGGGCTTCGCTCCGGGAGTCCAGCAGCTGAGCCTCAGCCACGCGGCTGACGCATCTTTAGGGTCTTTTTCCAGGAGTTAGGGTTGTATACTGTCTATATAAGTATTCAATATAGCTTATAGTATCTTAGGCTTTAGGGTTGTATATTGTCTGTATACGTATTTAATGAAGCTTATAGTATCTCATCTAGTACCGTATATAGAATAACTATGCTACATGTTACTACATCTTGTACTGTATTGAGTATAAGTATGCAACATGGTACATAGTAATATGGCATAATATTCAATCCGATATCTTACTCCCAGGACCAGGAGGACGATGGTTATCATCAAGAGTCTTATGCAGAAATCGTAAGAAACTGAACATAACTCAATCAGCTAACAACAAAAACACAGGTAACAGCGATCCCGAGACAAAGACTTGGCTTCCGAGGGCCAGGCAATCACTGAGACAAGGCCCCCCGTGCCTGAAAAGTAGGGTTTACACACTATCCCGAGCAAATATGCATTCCGCATAGGTAACCCGATTCAGCATCGAGAGCATGCTGTGCCTGCCGTGCTGTCCCCAAGCTGCAAGACCTGTCCAGCTTCCGCTATGGTTGCGACACCTCCGCGCCACCGAAGCAGAGTTCTTCAAGAGCTCTGTTCTTCAATGCATGCGAGCACGGAAGGAGAGCATAGCCCCGGGCCATCATTGACCAAGACCTCAGCATGGCATGCGATCTAGAAGATCCACAAACACGACCTGACTGGGTCTCGGACCTGAAACCGCTTGGGCTGTTCGGTGTCGGGAACCTGGCACAAACCACTCGGGCCACCACATGGGGAAGACTTCGCTGTGCTGTGGGCCTCCAGCAAGGCATCAAGAGAGCGCGCGATTCGGTCTTTACGGCCGGAGAAGAAGTCAGTCGCGCTGTACCTGCCAGGTAGAGTTGACGAAGTCGGTGGCTTCTCTGAGTACGTATGAAGGCATGCACGGATTCTAAAAGCACAAAGAAGAGAGATGAGTGAACAAACATGTGTGCTTGTTGAAACTGAAAAACATGGCAGACAACAACAAACAACTCTGGCAGATTGAACCTAGGCATGTTGCACTGTGAAACATGATGCTGCCATTTGTAGAGGTGTGTGTGTGTGTGTGTGTTTGCGTGTGTGTGGGTGTGTCTGCGTGCGCATCCACCGCGTAGGCATGCTCATATGTAATTACAGGTGTATGTATGCACATATGCATATATATGCACGTAATTAGATACGCTGTATATACTATTGTACAACTATGTACTGTACACTATACATTACATACTATACTCTGTATACTAGTATCTACATACTGTATATACTATATACTATGTACTATATACTCTGTACTCGAAACTCTATACACTAGAATCTAGACTGCATAAAGAATCCAAACAACACATTGTATACTGTATACGATGTACTATGTACCATTTACTATATCAAACAGAAACGGATTATCTATCTATGTGCACACCTATCTATCCATCTAAACCATCCAGACTTACACAGATAATAGACTGAATAATTACAAAAGTTTCTACAAGCATGCTCTTGGGAGCCTTGGTAGGAAACTAAAACTAAACGACCGTAACATAGACCTTGAATGGAAGGACTCCCAAGCTGGTCTACGCGTATAAGAATCCGTTACATCCACTATCGCCATCCATGTCTGTGAGGTTACGCACAGGAAGCGGTCAAATGAGGGCACTTGCCACCTCGTGCTTGCTCCACGGAGCGAAGCCCTGACTGGTCCTGCACGTGGTAGAGACCTGTGGCGAACATGAACTGTGCCACATGCATGTCCGTGTATGTGTGTGTATGTATGTATGCAT